GCTGTTGCTATTTTGACATTATCTAAAATCCTTTGAGGGGCTTGTTTTTGTTTTTGTTCTTTAATAACACAGCAGCCATTAAATTGTATTTATATATTCTCAGAGGAATATCGTCTATCTTTGGATTCCAGGTTGCTTGGAATGATGAAACGGTTATTTGGTTTGGAAGCTGAATGACATTGGCATCTGTCCCTGCTATAATGATGGGTGAGGGATGATAGACGGAAATTAAACTAAAAAAATCTTAATAGCGCAATCTACCCTCATAGGCAGCTTTCTCTTTTGCGATTTGCTTATTTTATTGCTGTTCTTTAGAATTGATCTCAAGGCAGTTAATGAAACAATTAATAAAACAAAGTTAAAAATATAAAAAGTTAAAAATATAAAAACAACAACAAAACAATGATTATAGTAACATAACAAAATTTTTAGTAGATGATATAATGATCCCTGATTTCCTTGGGCAATCTAATCAGTTACGCCAAAAGTCCTGGGACAGCTCAGTTGGTAGAAAATGAGACTTAACTTGAGGGTTGTGGGTTTGAGCCCACGTTGGGCGAAAGATTCCTGCATCACAGGGGGCTGGACTACATGGCTCTTGTGGTCCCATCCAATTCTACAATTCTATATAAAAAAAGGCTAAGTACATCCATACATTTTCACCTGTGGTTGGAAGCTTCAAAAGGTAAAAGCTGTTGCACCTCCATGGGGAGAGAATTCTAGTTGGGGTGGCTGCTACAGTGTAGGCTTACCCCATATTTCCATCCAGCAGGCCATTTCTGCTATTGATATTGGCTGTCAGAGCCTGGGCTGGATGATTAAGGAAAATGCACTCTATCAGTTTTGGCACTGTGATCATCAAGCTGTGGAAGTGCAGAGTAATTTCTTCTCTTTGGTCTGAATTTAAAACATTTTTTTAGTTCAGGACTGGCTAACCTGTGGTCCTCCAGATATTATAAGTTGTCTCATCCCTGGCTATGCTGCCTTGGACTGATGTAAGTTCAGTGAACTTGACTAATATGGATATATGCTTATGAATAGTTTTATTATAGATAGGGTGTGTGTGTGTGTGTGCGCGCAGTGGTACCTCTAGTTACAAACTTAATTCGTTCTGGAGGTCCGTTTTTAACCTGAAACTGCTCTTAACTAGAGGTGTCTTGGTATCTCTTCCAGGTTAGCGGAGTTTGTAACCTGAAGCGTTTGTAACCTGAGGCATTTGTAACTCGAGGTACCACTGTGTGTGTGTATATCACACTTCTTTAGAAATAATTTATTAATTGCGGGTCTCAAACCAATTTACTAGCATAGTCACTTTCATTTTTCTTCAGAGTAGATGGGATAAAAATTTGTCCTGTGCACCCAAAAACAGGATGCATGATTTAAAATATATATTTTTTAATTGTTGCTAAATTTATGTCATACATTCATACATAATTTTATTTGTATGCCACCTTTCTGCAGTTCAAACTATTCTCAAGGCAGCTTACAACATGAAAAGAATATGTAACTACGACATAACAAAAGTAGTCATAAACAATAAATACAACTTTAAAAAAACACACACAACCAAAGTGAATGACTTCAGTATAAATCACAACAAGATCTAAAACAAAGATACAAAAAAAACCAATCAGCAACAAGAACCCCTCCAACAGTTCAGCAGCCTAAGCTTTTGTACCTGGAGTCAGTCGGGCCCTGCCCTCACAAGCCAGGTAGTAAAAGGCCTTCAAGGCAGGGAGCAGGTCTTCTAGGATTCACAGCCAAGATGGTCTTGCTGCACCTAGTTCCTTTTCAGCATTTGAGGGGTAACCCCTTTCTTCCAATATCCATTTTGTGCTTACAATTTAATGTCAAAATAGTCCAAACAGAAAGCTTGTAAATATAATTTATTTAAAATAACTTTCAGCTCTGGATAATATCCTTGTTTCAAAGTTCATTAAGCATAAATTTCAATTTAGTACAGTCATACCTTGGGTTACAGACGCTTCAGGTTGCGTTTTTTTGGGTTACGGACCGCCAAAACCCGGAAATACCGGAACGGGTTACTTCCAGGTTTTGAAAGTTGCGCATGCGCATAAGCGCTAAATTGCTCTTTGCGCATGCGCAGAATCGCAACCCGCACATACGCAGATGTGCTACTGCGGGTTGCGAACGCTGCGGGTTGCGAACGTGCATCCCACACTGATCACGTTCACAACCAGAGGGTCCACTGTCTTTTATATGCAAGTAATTTAACCCAAAGGATTGACTGCATACGTTTCTCGCCAAAGTATCACCTGTGGAAGTAGAAGCTCTGTGGTCTCCTAATGTCCATGAATATGGAGCCATCATGGGACTTTCCTGCTAGCTAACAGCACAAGACATTGTGGGAACTGTTTGATGTGTAGGACTTTTGCCTGACAGTAGTTTACTTAAGATTATTATACTTTGGGGATTTGTATTTGCCAGGCACTATTGCATTTTTAGTTCCAGGCTTCTCAGAGTTATGGAACAGCGGGTCAACAAAAATTACTGTGGGATTGTCAGATGTGACAAACCAGATTTTCAAAGCAAATAGTTCATAATTGATAGCAATTTAGCATTCTTTTTTATAGGACTTGTAATTGCTTTTAGTGGTTCTGTTTTTGACTTCATCTGTAATGTCCATCCTGGTATCATGTTTAATAACAACATTAAAAACAAAACACATGCTAATGTATCACGAGAAAGGTCTGAAGATTTCCTCTGAAGTCCCGCAACTAAGCACAGCCCACAGTGGCATCACGAATGCTCCATGTGAAAGTGCCTCTCTTCATTCCTACTTTGACCCAGATGTTCTCCTCTTAGCACAGTTGGCAGTGGGAGAGAGGAAAATACCATGATTTGTCAACTAGCTGGAAGAAAATGGTTCTGCCCTGCTTTTGTAATACAACAGTGTAATATGCATGAATTAATCTGTGTAGACTTCATAAATTAGTGGATGAAGCTTTTCATGGTTATGGAAATTACAACAGGCACAATCACTTCGTAAGTGCTGTCCATCCATTTTAAGGTAGAAATAAATTTGCTCTTGCAGCCAAACAAGATGTAATGCTGAAACCAGTCGTCAGATCTTTTGACATTGCTTTCTGTGCTTCAGAGCAGCTGCAGAGGGGATTGCTTACTTGATTGGGGAAGCAGTGCTGGGGGAGTGTTTATCTTGTTGCCCTTCTGAATGACATCCCTAGTCTATTGGTTTTCCTGCTAAAGGAGTACAAGCACCTCTTGTTGCTTTGCGCAGTGAGACTTGGTTAGGGTACATGGTGTCCTTAATAGCATTTGGGGTGTGGATAAATGATTTAGAAGTCCTGTATGAAGTAATTTTTCCCCTTATCCTTAAATGTGTTGACTCATGAGGTTTTTAAATATATTATGTGATTGCAAGTACAAAAGGTAGAAAGGAGATGCTCTCCTAGGTGTGGCGTCTTCTGTTTGTGCAGACCAGGTGTTTTTCCAGACCATCACATTTTTCCCTAATGTGATCAGGGTGCTCCTGAAAAAAATGCATATGTTCAAAAACAAAGGCAGCATTTGATTTGTAAGTCAGATCGCAGTTCTATATTCCGCTGTTGCTGCAGTATGATGTAATGTTGAAATTGGACTTGGAGAGGCCTGGGATTCCATATACAAACAGATGGGTGTGCTTGGATGAGTCACAATTCTCAGTCTAGCCTGTGCTCATAAGTTGTTGTGAGGATAAAGGGATGGAGAAGTTGTCTCCAACCAAATTTGCCACCTTACACTTCTTAGACTCTAAGGATTCTTTCCTTTGGAAGTTGGGTCAACAGATTTAATGGTGGCACCTCTGAGTGACAGGTGGTCAGCCCTGTCCACTAGGGGGGGGGAGTGGGGGAGCTCAAGATCTGGCCAACCAACTGGATCCTATTCTCTATCCCTGCTGTATATAAAGAGAGATAGAAATGTGAGTAGATAAGTAACAAGAGAGTGTTAACTTTGCTAAAGTAAGTTTTTAATAGTTACCTTTAAACGATCTGGGTAAATGCTTATGCATTTGTGTTTAAGGTGGGGGGCATCAGTGTCCTGGCTAGGATCCCATGTATCTATGATCAATGTCACCAGGGCTTAATTTAAACCTCAGGGTAACTTGTCTTTAGAACTCACCCTGACTATGTGAAGGAGAATGCTGCTGTTTAGAGCATATGAAGTATTTTGAGAAGCACACTCTAGGGAAGGGTCAAATACTGTGGCCTTCTCACACGATGGGAGACTCCAGAATTTCACCTCTATCATTAGAAACACTCAATATGGCTCTGAATGTCAGTTGCTGAGGAACAAGACAATTGTATTCATGTTCTCCTTGAGGGCTTCCCATTGGCATCTGGTTGGTTACTGGGGGAACATAATTTTAGACCTGATAAACCTTTGGTCTGATCCAACATGGATGTTCTTAATTAAGCGTTGAGTAGCTTTTGGGCATGAGCGCCGCAACCCCAGAGTCGGTCATGACTGGACCTAATGGTCAGGGGTCCCTTTATCTTTACCTTTACAGGGCTCCTTTGAGGACCGAATGGGGAAAGCCCCATGCATTAATGTATTTGTTGACTTATTTCAAGGATTTTTACCCCCATGCTTCAGCTGAAAAGGCTCTCAGAGCATCTTATATTAAACTGCCCTACCTTCTGATAACTTTGAGACCTTAAATTGAACTCAGAGAAGTATATATTGCAAACATTCTGAAGGGGTACTCATATTTGGATATCTGTAAGTCTCTAGTGGGGAAGGAAACTGGGGACCAACTGTTGAAAACATTTTTTTTTTTAATCCTTGCTCTTTGATTGTGATCCACAGATTTCATTAAGATACTCTTGTTGACTTGGACATATATGAAAAAGGGAAAGAATCAGCTTTGCTTGTTTGTCATATCGTGTCAGGAATCAGAAAACCCTAGAATTGTAGAGTTGGAAGGGACCCTGAGGGGCTTCTAGTCCAACCCCCTGCAATGCAGGAATCCTGCCCACAGCCATCCCTGGGTGGGCTTGAACCACAAACCTTCTGGTTAACAGCCAGATGCATTAACCCAGTGTGCCACAGAGATTTTGTATCTCAGCAGAAAAAAGTGCATTGCTTACTATAAATTAATTGCTTACTTTGCACACCCGGAAATAATTATCTTCATCTTGTCTCTGAGTTGCTGCTTTTAGTTTTTCCTTTAGGTGAGCACATCTTTTCTATGCCTGACTAATGCAGGTGTTAGGAGCTAATGAGTCTCAACAATCCTAAAACTAAGGATTATGTTGTGTTGCTATGGGAGTTGAGAGCTCTGTGACTGGCAGTGTGCAATTAAAAAAAACATACATTGTTTACAAATCCATTCCCATGTTCACATCTTACTGAGTGAGGCCGTAGAAAACAATACTGGCATTTACTGAAGTATATCTGAAAGGGTCACAGTATAAGTAAGTTTTAAAGTAACCTTAAGTTGCTTTCCATTTGATTAACTGAGCATTAGAGAGCGGTGTGTCACAAATATTATAATAATAATAATATAATAATAATAAAATAAATAATTTATACCCCACCCATCTGGCTGGGTTTCCCCAGCCACTCTGGGTGGCTTCCAACAAAACACTATTAAACATTAAAAGCTTCCCTAAACAGGGCTGCCTTCAGATGTCTTCTAAAAGTTTGGTAGTTATTTTTCTCTTTGATATATGGTGGGAGGGCGTTCCACAGGGCGGGCGCCACTACCAAGAAGGCCCTCTGCCTGGTTCCCTGTAACTTGGATTCTTGCAGCAAGGGAACCGCCAGAAGGCCCTCGGCGCTGGACCTCAGTGTCCAGGCAGAACGATGGAGGTGGAGACGCTCATACCTTTGGGATTAGTGTATTCTGATTTTTTTTCAAGTGTTTTTCAGATTAGCACCCGCCCTATGGGGCCAAACTACACAGGATGTTAGAATGTGTCTTTTATTTTAATGCACACATTTTTCTTTTTTTAAAAAAAATACAAATGATAGCTATTGATGTGTGTGTGATAATTATATTTGCAGCAAGAATGCCCAAATGGTTCTAGAAGCTGGCAAGGGCAAAAATCCCCTACATCAGATGAAAGACCTATTTATGGGTCTTCTGCTTGGTGCTTCAAAGTATCATAACTTTTAAAGTTTTCGTAGGTGAACATAAATGCTAAGTTCATCTTAAAAAATGACCAAGAGTTCAAAGAAATGCACATGCTACAAACAATTAAGAGAAGTGATGTGGAGTCCTCGTATTTTGCCTATGGATTATGTTACTTGCATTTCTCTGAAATCTTTGAGATGAATGTTGTCCAATAGTAATCTTGTATATTGTTTTAGGCGCTTAATTGTTGTGAAAAAGTATTGATTGAAAGATTAATGTTTGTGTGAGCATAGTCTCAGTCCTTTTAGCAACTGAAAGTTGGGAGGAAAACTGGATTCATTGCTTGTTGTGCTTGCTTCAGAAGGGCTTGGTTTTATAGTGGTGAAGTGTTGTCTATTTAGAAGCAGAATGATCTGAAATAGCTCATGCTTGCCAAATATGTTAATTTGGAATATCCACTGGCAGGGGTGCAAAATCTGGGAGCTAGACAGATTTTCTAGGAGTCAGAAAGGAGCAGAAACCAATTTCCTTGCAACCTGGATGCTGGTGCCCAGTCCCATTTTCTTTCTAAGATGCTAGATGAGCTTCTGAATTCTGCAGCCCTGTCTTGCTAGCTTTTTCTAATGTGATACTGTTTAAAAAGCAAAACAAAAAATCCTTTAGTAACTATTAATAGCTCTTTGTAAAGGGTGAGAGAGTGAGAGGTCTGTGTTAACAGTACCCCAAGGCGATATCATTGCATATTAACTGCTATTCAAGGAAGCTGGGCTTCGCTGTACAGTATTTGTATGCCACATTAGCTTCAGATATGTCTGAACACAAAATATGCACAATTTTCAGGATTTGCAAAATTTTGAACGTAGCCCCTAAATTGTTCTTAGGTTTTTTATTCCAAGTACTGTACAATTAAGGAATTGTTGAGGTGACAGAAAGTGTTTATTTAAAAAAGCTGGGCATTCAGGATTAATTTAAAACCCAAATCACCAAGATTTAGCCCCAGAAAGAATTTTCACTCCCTGAACTTGAGTCTGAAATAATAGAGAGGGCCTCTGGGCACACATAGAGTGACTTTTCTTTTCTATGTTGTGTTGTTGTTGTTGTTTAGTCGTTTAGTCATGTCTGACTCTTCTTGACCCCATGGACCAGAGCACGCCAGGCACTCCTGTCTTCCACTGCCTCCCGCAGTTTGGTCAAACTCATGCTGGTAGCTTCGAGAACACTGTCCAACCATCTCATCCTCTGTCGTCCCCTTCTCCTTGTGCCCTCCATCTTTCCCAACATCAGCGTCTTTTCCAGGGAGTCTTCTCATGAGGTGGCCAAAGTATTGGAGCCCTCAGCTTCAGGATCTGTCCTTCCAGTTAGCACTCAGGGCTGATTTCCTTAAGAATGGATGCGTTTGATCTTCTTGCAGTCCATGGGACTCTCAAGAGTCTCCTCCAGCACCATAATCCAAAAGCATCAATTCTTCGGTGATCAGCCTTCTTTATGGTTCAGCTCTCACTTCCATACATCACTACTAGGAAAACCATGGCTTTAACTATACGGACCTTTGTTGGCAAGGTGATATCTCTGCTTTTTAAGATTCTGTCTAGGTTTGTCATTGCTTTTCTCCCAAGAAGCAGGCGTCTTTTAATTTCGTGACTGTTGTCACCATCTGCAGTGATCATGGAGCCCAAGAAAGCCTCCATTTCTTCCCCTTCTATTTGCCAGGAGGTGATGGGCCCAGTGGCCATGATCTTCGTTTTTTTGTTTTTTGTATGTTGTGTAACCACATATAATTGGGCTCTAGAAGCCCTTCTCCCTCTTTCTAAGTACTTAGTTTAGATTCACTTCTGCTCAATATAGAAATTAAGCACGGCTGGTATTACAAAAGCAGCACCAGCTTTTCTTACGAAATTTTGCAGTTTTCTAGAATAACTTCTGAGCGAAAGACTGAACAGATGCCGCATACTGGAACACTATTCAAGTAAAGACTGGAAAAATAGATGCAAAGTTTAAAATAATTGCAAAAGAGTATACATTTTGAGAAAACAATCATAAAATATACTAAAATTTGCAACATCCAGGTGATGTAAAATGCTTTTGTTCTACCCACATTTTCCAGGCTAGTCTTATTATAGGGCCAGGCACTCCCAGCACTGCAAGCCATCCTTCTGTAGGGTCTGCAAAGACCCATGAGGTTGCTGAAGGCTCCATGTAGGCTCTGAGAAGGGAATAGTCTATGCACCAACTATTGCCCAGTCTCAAATCTGCCATTCTTGGGCAAGGTGATTGAGCGGGTGGTTGCTGAACAACTCCAAGCACGCCTGCAGGAAACGGACCATTTGGATCCCTTCCAATCGGGATTCAGGTCTCACCATGGGACTGAAACTGCCTTGGTCGCGCTGGTTGATGATCTCCGGCGGGCTAGGGACAAAGGTGAGAGCTGTTTCCTAGTTCTGCTGGATCTCTCAGCGGCCTTTGACACCATCGACCATAACATCCTTCTGGACCGTCTAGAGGGGCTGGGAGCTGGGGGCACTGTCATACAGTGGTTCCGCTCCTTCCTCCTGGGCCGTGTCCAGAAAGTGGTGGTGGGGGATGAGTGTTCAGACCCCTGGGCTCTCACTTGTGGGGTGCCTCAGGGTTCTGTCCTCTCCCCCATGCTTTTTAATATCTATATGAAGCCGCTGGGAGAGATCATCAGGGAGTTTGGACTGGGTGTTCATCAGTACGCAGATGACACCCAGCTCTACCTCTCCTTTAAATCAGAACCAGTGAAGGCGGTGAAGGTCCTGTGTGAGTGCCTGGAGGCGGTTGGAGGATGGATGGCGGCTAACAGATTGAGGTTGAATCCTGACAAGACAGAAGTACTGTTTTTGGGGGACAGGGAGCGGGTTGGTGTGGGGGATTCCCTGGTCTTGAATGGGGTAACTGTGCCCCTAAAGGACCAGGTGCGCAGCCTGGGAGTCATTTTGGACTCACAGCTGTCCATGGAGGCGCAGGTTAACTCTGTGTCCAGGGCAGCTGTCTACCAGCTCCACCTGGTACGCAGGCTAAGACCCTACCTGCCCGCGAACTGTCTCGCCAGAGTGGTGCATGCTCTAGTTATCTCACGCTTGGACTACTGCAATGCACTCTACGTGGGGCTACCTTTGAAGGTGACCCGGAAACTGCAATTAATCCAGAATGCAGCAGCTACACTGGTGACTGGGAGTGGTCGCCAGGACCATATAACACCGGTTCTGAGAGACCTGCATTGGCTCCCAGTACGTTTCCGAGCACGATTCAAAGTGTTGGTGCTGACCTTTAAAGCCCTAAACGGCCTCGGTCCTGTATACCTGAAGGAGCGTCTCCACCCCCATCATTCAGCCCGGACACTGAGATCCAGCGCCGAGGGCCTTCTGGCGGTTCCCTCACTGCGAGAAGTGAGGCTACAGGGAACCAGACAGAGGGCCTTCTCGGTAGTGGCGCCCGCCCTGTGGAACGCCCTCCCATCAGATGTCAAAGAGATAAATAATTACCTGATATTCAGAAGACATCTTAAGGCAGCCCTGTTCAGGGAAGTTTTTAATATGTAACGCTGTACTGTTTTTAACACTGATTGGGAGCCGCCCAGAGTGGCTGGGGAAACTCAGCCAGATGGGCGGGGTATAAATAATAAATTATTATTATTATTATTATATTACCAAACAAACAGGAAGTGATTGACAGAACAAAACCCTTCAAGCACAGTGCTCCCATTCTAATAATAGCCCATTTATATCAAAATAAGGAACTGGCGGATGTGCCACACAGTCAACTCTGACCAACCAAAATCATACATTTACTTCTCTAGGAGAACTGAATTTGGCCCATTGTATCCAACCCAATGTTGCCTTTTTAATGCCAGATGAGGCTCAGGGGCCTGGTAGAGGTTAGAGGGGACAGGAAACCTCTCTTCTGTGAACTTCATAAAGTTACCCTAGGATAGAATAGTATAGGTAAAGGTAAAGGGA